CCCCTCTTAATGTGCCCAAGCCTTCTCCAGGTAAATCTTCTTCGTCTTGTAGGCTGCGGGTGAGATGAGCAATATAGGTGGTGGCCAGGAGCAAGACATCCAACTTGGACAGCTTGGTGTCAGGAGGCACAGAAGGCAGGGTCCTCTGCAGCTCCAAGAAGGCATGGCGCAGAGTCTGCACTCGGCTCCGCTCTCGGGCTGCATTTGCCGCTGCTGGTCTTCCCAGGGTCACCCCTGCCCGCTGTCCACTTAAGGAATCAGTGCCAGATATAGATGATGGTAGGGAGCTGGAGTCAGAGCAGGGCACAGACAGCTCCTTGCAGTTCTCAGATGCATTTCTATAGTCCATTGGTGGAGATAAACCTATAATCAACAAGGACACTTATTTCTAAGGACTTGTACCTGGAAGAATCACTGTAATAATTATACTGTAACCTGATTATTTAATATTACACCATGAGCGTTTTAGCATTGGTGACCAAAGTCTGAATCCTCACTTGGCTGTGAAAACACACTGAGTGACCTTGGACAAGTCACATTCTCTCAGCCTCAGAGGAAAGCAAGGGCAAACTTCCTCTGAACAAATTCACCCAAGAAAATCCCATTATAGGATTGCCTTAGACTGAGTAACCATAAGTCAGAAATTCCTTGAAGGCACATAACATAAATGCATTGTATAGAAGACTCTCTTGCAGCTAGCAAAACTAGGTACAAGTCTGTAGAACTGAACCCTAAATAGAGTGAATACAAGCTGTTTGATGCTCTAATCTACACAAACATAAATTTTGGTTTTTTGTGGGCTTTTCAGGCTGTGAGGTCGTGTTCTAGAAGAATTTCTTCCTGACAGATGCAGGCGAAACGTCAGGAAGAAATTCTTCTAGAACACGGCCTCACAGCCTGAAAAGCCCACAAAAACCCATGGATGCCAGCCATTAAAGCCTTCGACGAAACATTAATTTTGATGCTCAATCTGGCATATTGGTTTACATAACATATGAAAGAGGCCAAAGAGGTGTGGTGCAGGAAGGACTGTTCTTCAAAGATGTTCCAGAGTTGCTGTTTTTTATAAATCTGGACACTTTTGCTACAGTCAGAAAATACAGACCAGGCTAGGACATGGGGCAAGGTGGTGTCAGGGGAAGAACTGAGGATACCCCATACTAAGATTTAATCTAGATTAGTGTGGGGCTTGGTTTGGGCCAGCTCTGGTTCCAAGTCTGCACTCATAAACAGAACTACTGTGATTAAGCCCCTTCACTTACTTTTTGAGTAAATATCCCAAATGTTCTGTAAACCTCTCAGAACTATAACTCATATGGAAAAAAATGCCAAGATTTAGCAAATACTTATACAGCCACATAAATTGTTCAGTTTTTGATTATGTTTTATTTTGTAATGTTGTGTAGAATTTGAACTTAAATACAATGGCTTTGCAATGATATGTAGATAAAACAAACAATAAAAACTTCTCTCTCTCTGTTTCTCTCCTCTTCTCATTTTAAAACTCTCTGAAATGCCGTATTCTGTGATTTATTTTAGGAAGGCCACAAAATAGATATTTATTTCTCCACTTTAGACAAGCAAATCCTCACAATCTCAAATCTTTGTTACATCTCTGTATTTTGGGAGGATTTCACAAAATTCATCTGGGATGGTCAACATTCACATGCAGTATAAATGTCAACATTCACCACATTTCAGACAAATGGAGTAATGCAGGGCATACTGGCTGCAGTCCAATAAAGTGATATGTTCATACAGAGAAAAACCACACTTGGAGCTCTGAGTTCATTTGCAGTTTCTGCTGCTGTGATTCTACTTGTACAGTGTGGAGAGAAAAATCACTTTTAAGAGCGTCATGGACACTCCTTTACTTATTATGCATACACAAGATGGAAACACCCAACAAGATCTTTGTGGGATATTTACTGCACTATATATCATCTCTACTTTCTTTCTGAGATCTGCATCCATACCTCTCAACAAGATCCTATTTATGAGTAGTCACAATGAAATCAATCATGGTGGTCCCTGAGATTCCTGTGGACATTCTGAAATTCTAGATATTCCACCTTACGGTCATTTGGAATGAAGCCATGCATTTAAATGGCTCTTCTCCATCTTTTGTTTTCATACACTCCAATACTTTTCCTTCCAGGTTTTACCTTCTTTATTTTTAAATGTTGTTTTCCAATTCCTGAGGATATTTTGAAATTAATTTGTCCGGCAGATTTCTACTCTGCTAATGCAGTGCAATGAAATATGTACATGTTATCACTCTCTCTTTTTTGGTCCATCCTTCAACAAGATTGGAACAAGCAAAATATTTTTGTTAGCACCTTCCAAGACAACATGATGCAAATTGAACCGTTAGAACCATTATAAGAATATGTTTTCCTTAACTACTGAAACTTTTGAGAAGACTTTAAATGCTTGTTTGTGATGAAGAAGAATTCTGTACAATGCCAAGTACAATTAATCAAGTCATCCCATTACCGCCAAGGCAATGCATTTATTGGGCTTTTAGACTCTCCTTATACACTAACTTGAGTAGTATCAGTTAACCAGGGAAATTAACAGAGATGTCATGGGAGCAATAAAGTAAAATCTTCCCATTAATAAAACATAAATATTTATCTGAGCTCTATTTACACAATGGGAAAATCAGGCGGATTGATTTCCAAACACATTAGAAAAGCTGGGATGGAAAGATGGAATATACAAATCAAATCTTGCCCTTCTCCCATCCAAAACATGCTAATTTCCAAGATGCAATTATATGAAGAGCACTTACAATTAAAAAAGAACTGAATTTAGGACTGCAGCCCTATAAATACAAATAAACTGTAAAATAACAAAATGCTATATCCAATTGCAGACCTGACCAGAGACAACCCACTGAGATTAAGTATCCAAAGGGATCTTGTAACACCTTTGAGACTAACTGAAAGACAAATGCTGGTGGCATGAGATTTTGTAGACTTGAACCTACTTCCTCAGATGCATGCATCTGAGGAAGTAGGCTCAAGTCTACAAAAGATAATTCTACCAACTTCTTTCTTTCAGATTGTCTCAAAGGTGCTACAAGATCCCTTTGGATACTGATTTTCCAGACTAACACGGCTATGGGAGTTTACCACTGAAGTAATTGTTAGTTACTTCATAGTTCCATTCATCTCAAGGCTCTACTCTAGTTGGGACTTAACACTGAATTTCTCCCCAAGAGTCTTGTGGCATCTTAAACACTGAAGGTGCAACTAGTATTCACACTTACTAGGAAGTATAGCCTACTTTATTCAGTAGGAGTTCCTTTGGAGTAAATATTATATATATATATATAGAGAGAGAGAGAGAGAGAGAGAGAGAGAGAGAGCGTTTGCATTGAAAGAATAATTTCACAGTGTAACCTTCCATATGGCAGTACTTCCATTCTTTTTATCAGTTGCAATGATTTAAAAAAATCTTTATTTTTTTTTATCAGTTACACAGTGAACTGGTCTCTGTCCCAGAAATATCACACGCCAGCATCTTGCAACCTTCAAAGTGAAAAAGGTTTTGCTCAAAGAAAGGAACACGGCTAACCCTCTGGAACTGATCCCAAAACACTACAGGAAAGCAATAATTCACAAGGCAATGAATGAAACAGAATTTTCCACTCACAAATCCATTTTGAGATATTTACAAATATTAATTTTTGTCTTCTTTATTGGACTGCCTGAGCAACAGATACTTCCTGAGCCACACTTTCTAATAATTTATTTAAGATTTATTTATGGAGCGCTCCTCATTATAGATGGTTAGGGCTGGGGTCTCAGTCCAGTAAGAAATCCACACCAATTTTCTTCACACTGTTGTAAAATCTATATGCTCTTTATACACTGCATAGCACAGCCTTTTGTAACTTTCCATGTCCTTCAACTTGACATTTTTGAACTACAACTCTCAGTACCTCCAGCCCTGGGGGTGATGGGAATTGTATTGCAACATATCTGGAGAGCCCCAGGCTTGCAAAATTTGCAAGATTTCTTCAGTTTTCAGCACTGACGAGAAACAGCAAATGGAAACAAATCCTGACTTTCTCTGCTTTCAGTCTCTCTGAAATCTCTCTGTATGTCCACATCATAAAAATCCATTTTTTTAAAAAAGCCTGAAAGAAACCCTGTTTTAAACCACAACAAACCTCCAGAACTTAATTTGTACCCTAGAAAAATAATTTCTAACCCAAATCACTAATACAGACTTCATTGGGAACTGTGTAGCCAAATGTAAACCATACTCTTTCTCTCTCCTGAATGTCAGTGTTTCAGGGTATTAAAGAGAGAGAAGTTAATTTTGTTTCCAAATTTCTTTTCTTTCCTCCAAAGTTAGGCTAGTCCATTTTCTAGCTGTGCTTAGAGAGTTCCCTGCCTCTAAAATAATACCAATTTTTCAAGTCACAGAGCAACTCTGAGGATGCGACTCTGGGCATTATTAAAGTGTCTTGGAAATAAGTTCTTGGGGGAAATTAGTGGCATGATTTCCCCCCCCCCCAAAAAAAACAGGTTATATAGGGAGATATATTTATTTTTTAGCATTTCCCATCCGTTGCAAAGGTGCCCTGAGGATCTTTCGACTCTGCAAAATAAAGAGAGAGAGAAGAGGGTTGCACAGGCAGAATAAAACCTGAGCGCCAAGTTTGCAAGTAAAATAAGAAAATTCAGGCACTGCATTTAGCAAAGAAAGAAAGAAAGAGAGAGGAAAGGAATAGAAAGCTGCCTTTAAAAAGGACTTACTTGATCTTCTGGAGTGAGAAGCAAGGAGAGATGGAGAAGCGATCCGATCTAGCCCAGAATGGCAGTGGAGGAGTCCCTGGCTTTTATAGGGCTGGAAAGAGCTCACCCACCTCCTGCTCCTGCTCCTCCTCTCCTGGCAGGTCCTCCTTTTCCAGGACACGTCCTCCATTCCACTCTTCTGCCCAGGAGGAATTCTACAATGTCCTCCATTTTTGAGCATCACCAAGAAGCAGTGTGGTGTAGTGGTTTGAGCACTGGACTGTATCTCTTTGGACTGGAGACCTGGGTTCGAATCCCTGTTCAGCCATGGAAATCCACTGGGGGACCCTGGGTAAGTCACACTCTCTCAGCGTCAGGGGAAGGCAATGAAAAAACCAGCCCAGAAAAAACCAGCCCTTAGGGTTGCCATAAGTCGGAAACAACACCACACCAAGAAGCATGAATTTATATTTATATCCATAATAAGTGTTTCTAGCTTTTATTTGGTCATGTTCTTCCTTTTCTTTATTTTACAGCCTTGTCCTTCTTTGCAGGGAGGACATCTGGACCCCCTGTTTCCTGGAGGAGACCCCAAACTCTTTTCCTGGTTGAGAGGCTGAGGTTTCTTTCCCCCCCAAGGGAAACCCACTGGGTGACCCTGCGCAAGTCACACTCTCTCAGCCTCAGAGGATGGCCATGGCAAACCCCCTCTGAAGGAACTTGCCAAGAAGACCCCAAGATAGGTTCTCCTTAGGACCACAAGATGTCCTAACCACAAAGGAGGACAAGGCACCGCAAAATGTAGGACATTAGAGGAAATTATAGGGCACAATAATAATACCATAATATTAGCAGAAAACCTCCCAGACCTGGAACCACTACTAAGAAAGATCAAGGAAGAAAGTGCAAAGAGAGGCCTATTGCTGAACATAAATAAAGAGAACAAAAATAATGACAACGGAAAATCTTTAGACAGTGAAGAAATAGAAGTGGTAAAAGAGTCCTCATACCTGGGATTATACCTGGGATAGAAATGGGGTCTGCAGCCAAGAAATCAGAAGAATGGGGAGGTTGGCTATGAAAGAACTAGAAAATATTCTTTTTTTTTTTTAGTTTTAATTTTTTTATTTTAAAGTACATAAAAAATACAATTAAAATATAATCTTTGTCATATTTACAATGCGCTTAGTCATGATTCAAACTTCTCAATTGTTCTTTGAAAATAAGTGCATTTTTCCCCACTTTTCACATACATTGTTTCTGTATCTCTTGCTTCTATTATTTAACATCTCAAATCCAATTTATTACATAATCTCTGTAATTACTTTGCTGCTTTATTCCCATTTTCTATTTAGATATCTAAATTGCAAAGATATACAACTAAAAGTGAGAATAGTACAAGCCATTATATTCCCTATTACCATGTATGGATGTGAGAGATGGACATCGAAGGGAGATGATAGGAAAAAGATCAATGCATTTGAAATGAAGTGCTGGAGAAGAGTGCTCAGGATCTCATGGCCAAAAATACAAACAAATGGGGCCTAGAGCAGATCAAGCCGGAAATCTCCCTGGAAGAAGCCAAGATGATCAAACTGATGCTGTCATACTTTGGACACATCATGAGAAGGGAGGACTCATTGGAAAAGACAATAATGCTAGGAAAGATGGAGGGAAGTAGGAAGAGAGGAAGGCCACATGCCAGATGGATGGACTCCATTAAGAAGATCATGGGTATGGGTTTGCAGGATTTAAGCAGAGCAGTGGAGGACAGCGGATCTTGGAGATGTCCCATCCATAGGGTTGCCATGGGTCAAGATCAACCTGAGGGCGGTTAACAACAACAAATAGGGTATTACAAAATGAAAGCTAAAAGCACCAGTGTGCTTTTCATGCTCCTTAGTCCTGCTCAAATTCATGCTCCTTAGTCCTGCTCAAATTCATGCTCCTTAGTCCTGCTCAAAATGGAGAACATTTTGGAATTCCTCCTGGACAGAAGATGGAAATATAGGGCATGTCCTGGAAAAGGAGGACATGTACTCACACTGCCTTAGGGGTGCCATAAGTTGGAAAGGACTTGAAGGCACACAACACCAACAACACACTTCTTCCAGGCCCCTTGGGTAAATTATTATTATTTATTATTTAATAATAAATAATAAGTAAATTGCAAGGTACTTGCAAGGAAAGCATGTGCAGAATAAGGAATTGCAAGGAAATTGCAATAAGGAATTGCAAAGAAAGCATGTGCAGAGTGCATTTCCAGGGTGAACACTTCTCTTTATAGCGCACAGTCCTCTCTTTGGAAGATGGTCAGGGTCCAGCCTTCTGTTTCAAGATGTTTTCTTTAAAAGCCTGCCCAAGTCCAGATTTAAAATAAAGCATAAAAGAGACCTAGAAGTTCATGTGGGGACATCAGGCTGAGTAGGTACATCGTTCACCTGGATTAGAGGTATCTTCTCTCTTCTTGCTGTTGTTGTTGCGTGTCTTCAAGTCGTTTTCAACTTATGGCGACCCTATCATGGGGTTTTCTTGGCAAGTTTCTTCAGAGGTGGTTTGCCATGGCCATCCTCAGGCTGAGAGAATGTGACTTGCCCAAGGTGGGTTTCCATGGCTGAGCCAGGATTCGAACCCTGGTCTCCAGAGTCGTAGATCCAAAACACACTGCAGAAATAATCCAGTTTGAGACCGCTTTAACTGTCCTGCCTCAGTGCTAGGGAACCCTAGACATTGTAGTTTATTGTGGCACCAGAGCTCTCCGACAGAGAAGGCTCAATGTCTCACAAAGCTACAGCTTCCAGGACTCCCTAACACTGAGCCAGGGCGGTGAAAGTGGTCTCAAACTGGATTATTTCTGCAGTGTGTTTTGAACTGTAGTTCGACACTCAAACCAGACACCACAGTATCTTCTCAATTAGGGTGAAATGCACCATTTTTAACTAGTATCGAGATGGTTCTTTCTGCACTTGCTTCCATTTTGGTGAACTAGTTGTCCTATTCATTTCCTTCCAATGAAGCAAGAATCATGTTTCAAATTGGGAGAACATGGGGCCCTGACATGTTCGGAGGTCAGGGACCTCTAGTTTTATAAATGAAGCCATGTTCTTTATTCAAGGGCTGAGCGGAGGGTGAGAGGAAGGGGGCTCATTAATCAAGCTCTTGTCCCTCAACGAAGAGAAGTCGCCTCTGCTAATTGATCCCTCTCTGTGCCTCCCGCCAAAATGAACCGGGAGGACATTGGGCCTCAGCTACCATTTTCCACTTTCCCCTCATGAAAGCTAAAAAATGGAAGAGCCATAATGATTATTTAGATAATTATTTACAAATCACACTCAATAACTCTTAGGCTGTATCTGCACTGCAGAAATAATCCAGTTTGACACCACTTTAATTTCCATGGCTCAGTGCTATGGAACTCAGGAATGTTTAGTTTGCTTTGGTGCCACAACAAACTGTATATCCCAGAATTCCATAGCATTAAGCCATGGCAATTAAAGTGGCATCATAGCAAATTATTTCTGAAGTACTGATACAGCCTAAGTTGCTGTTTAAGAAGAGGCCAGTGCCTATAACAGTGATGGTGAAACTTTTAGGGGCCAAGTGCCCAAACTAAAAGGCTCAATGCTAGGGAATTCTGGAAACTATAGTTTTGTGAGGCATTGAGCCTCCTCTGTCAGAAAGAGCTCTGGTGCCACAATAAATTACAGTTCCCAGGATTCCCTAGAACTGAGCCAGGGCAGTTAACGCGGTCTCAAACTGGATTATTTCTGCAGTGTGTTTTGGGCCTATATAATTCAGGTCCAGCAGAAGACATTTTGTTTCCTGAGGCAAAGCAGCAAATGTCCACTCTTCCCCAGTCAAGGGGCATAGTGTCCAAACCCAGCCAAGGTATTTTAACACCTGAGGCGGAAATCCTATATGTACCTCTCCCTATCCCTAGTAGTAAAAATAGAGTAATAAATTAAAAGACTAACCATTCTCTGTCCTGAGGTACTACCTCATTCTAACTCATGGTGGGCTGACTTGTGTTTGGGATGTAAATACCAGTTGTCTTGTGAGCAATGTGATTTGCCTCCTTCATCTTAGGATGTTATCACACGTGGGCCAGTTTCGTTGTTAAAGAG